TTTGTACTCATGACAAAACTCCCAATTGATACAAAGGGATTTCAGTGTTTTCACTGGTATAGTTGAAATATAAGAGAATTAGAATTACATATTCTTGGTCACAAAACCCTCACTTCATTTTTGTCTGAGTCTTGCAAAGTACAATGCCTCCATATGGGTACATGCAAGGGAACCCTGACAGTCTCCTCCTAACATTTTATAAGTACCCTCCATCACAGGGGTTTGAATATCTGAGGTCAGCACGAACTCTGGGAGTGCAGCAGTGCAGCTTTGAAACAGAGCTGTTTGTGTTGTTTGTGTTGTAGAATCCTCAGCAGGGTTCACCTCTCTTCTCTCAGGATTTGTTCCTTCCTTTTTTCCATGTTTGGTTTTCCTTTTTTTTTTTTATACCCTCCAGAGTTCTTAGTCTCTGCATGAGCTAGAGTTCAAGTATACTTTCACCCAGACTTGTACCTTCATAGTTTTGGTTGTGAGCCTGATCTGCTGATCTGACTCTTTGGCTTTGGCTTTGGACCTACCTCTTAACTACCAACTTTGCCAATCAATCTGAATGGCTGTTTCAACTGTTCTTCTCCTGTACCAGTGCTGTGCAACTCCAAACTTTTTTGGTAGGATCCCGCTCCTTCCTGACTTCTTGTGAGTCTCAACTCCCAGCTCATCTGCCCTTCCCATGCTACTCTCTAAGACATGTTAAATCTTTTTTGTTAGGACCTGGCGTCTGTCAACTGATTTATTTCACAGAAACCATCTTTAAAATCGAGTCTGAGCTGACAAGGAAAGGTACTGTGCCTCAGTGCTCTCATCTTGAATTTAATAGATTTTCTTTCACACACTTTTATTCATGTCCTGATTTTAACAGACGCTTCTATTTCTTGAGTAGTATTGTGGGTAAAATTCTTAACATATTAATAATCAACTGAAGTCTCACTAGAACACCTGAAAATCTTTGTTTTCAAAGATGTTTGTGATGCTATGTCAGATTTAATAGTTTTTAGCTGATTTTTTTCTCTTTTGTTATTTGAAGGCACTAATGCTGACTTAAAGGATAAGGACTTCTGCTTTTTAGGGCTATTCACCTGAAATCAATTTACAATGAATGCAGGAACAATTTCAAAATCAGTTAACTGTAAAGTCAGATATGCCCCAGAGTTAGGTTGCATGGAGGTTTTTCCCCAAGAATCTGGTTTCTAAGAGCAATTAGCTATGTCTCTAGTACTGTTTCTCCAATATAAGGCCAGTGGAGTAGTGAAAAGAACAAGAAAAAAAGGAAACTACCTAATTGTAGCATGATTCTTTATCTATAGCAACATGGATAACTAAAGAAATACAACATAGGGAGAATCTGTTTTACATTTCCACAGTGCCACCTACCTTTTCACCCTGTGCTTTCCCTATACACGGGTCTACATATAAAATAGATATACTACATCCTTTAAATAGAAAACAAGTCCCTGGCAAGTCTCTGACAGTGTAGATCTAAGACACCTAGTGCTGGTGCCCATGCAAGTTCATGACTTGTTATAAAGCTGTTTGACTCACAAATATGATCTTTGTGTTGACTCTAGAAATATGATCTTGCTTTCATCATGACCTCTTGGAATCCAGGCAAATCCAGAGGGTTTTTTGTTAACACTATTACTTTAATGAAAACTCAGAAGAATACTCAGTCTTAGGTATTATTATAATTTCAAATTTTATCTAAGAAGCTGTTTTCCTTCTTTGGTAGTGAATTACAGCTATTTTTAGGCTACATTAAATTATTTTCCCTAGGTTTTACCCTCTTTTTTACATCTCTACCCTCTTAGTATCACACTGGGGTTTGGACTGGCAGTCCTTAATAAGAAATACTTTTTTTTTTTATTTTGGGTCTGACCATAGTTTTTCTCCCTGCCCTAAAATAAACCACACTGCTGTGTGCTTTCACCACTGTTTTTCACATTTAAAATCCGTTAATATATTATCAATAACTATGTTATTCATCTATGACAGAGTAGTACAAACATGCACAATATTATAAAAGACTATTAATAATCACTGAATCACTAAAGCTGGAAAAGACCACAAGATCGCTGAGTCCAACCTTTAACTACCATGTCAACTAGACCATAGCATTAAGTGCTGTTTCTAATTGTTTCTTGAACACTTCCAGGGATGGTGACTCCACCACTTCCCTGGGCAACCTGTTCCAGTGCTTGGCAACCCTTTCAGTGAAGAAATCCTTCCGGACGTCCAGCCTGAGCGTCCCCTGTTACAGCTTGAGGCCATTTCCTCTTGTCCTGTCTCCAGTTGCCTGGGAGAAGAGGTTGGCCCCCACCTTGCTAAAGCCTCCTTTCAGGTAGCTTTGGAGGGCAATAAAGTCTCCCCTGATGCTCCTTTTCTCCAGGCTAAACAAGCCCAGCTCCCTCAGCCCTCTTCATACGACTTACTCTCTACACCTTTCACCAGCTTTGTTGTTCTTCTAATGTTTTATTGTTTCTACAATGCCTTTCAGAAATCAAATTAATAATTAGATCCTACAATGAGCAATATTCATCTTGTTTCATTCATTGCAGTTTGAAGAGTCTTTTGATGTGGGACGAAAAATTAATTATTTTTAGAAAAAATAAATAATGTGTAGTTTCCTCTTGTGAAGCATGCCGGTCTTGAGACTTTGCTCATTAAAGCAGCAAGCCTGTAACTTTATACGAAAAAAAAAATTCTTTTTTATTTTGTTTGAACTGCATAAATATAAAATTAAAAATAAAGCTAAACATCTAGCTTCACAGGCATATAATTTAAAGTAATTTAAGTAGCCTCAGGGCTATCGGACAAGTATTGAAAGCTTTTCCCATTAGGTTCATCCAGTCTTCTCACACAGCTTTCTGCTTCTTAATGAAGAGCAGAAAAGTTTCAATGTTGCATGATCTAAGAGATGAATGAAGACATTTCTCCAAAATGTCTGAGCAAGTAAAAACTTAAGTTTTGACTGTTTCCAGAAATTCACAGCATATCCATCTTCCATCAAGTATTATATATAGCTGCTAATGCTGGACTCTGGGTGGCTCACAGAGAGTGGAAACTGCATTGTATTAGCAGGAAAATAACTAGAATTAATGTCTCCAGGAAACTTGAGAATTTTACAGCTTTTAATATTTTAACTTTTTCTCCCCACTTTTTTTCCATATTAAAGCATGGGGAAGACTACTCTGTGTCTTGAAATGACTCAGATTTCTCCTGTATTATTGCTGGACCTAAAGGCACAAACAGTCTTTATATAGAGATTGATATTAAAGATATACAGAGATTCAGAGCAGCTTTCTTAACTCTTTCTCAATCTAAATAGTCCTTGTGCACAGTAACGATGTTCACTGTCATAAAATGATAATTTAAGAGCAGACGGCTATTGCAATAGCACAGTTATCTGGATATTGAAGAGAATAGTTTGAATTTATGCTAAATAAGATATCTGTATATATGTGGAAACATGTTAGTCTAGAATCACGTGTTGCAAAATACCTATCTGCCTTTCAAAATTGACTTTATACTTTTTTTCCCTTGAAATAAGTGTTTTTATATCATTAAAATAAAGGATAAAGCATTCAACAGCAAGATGGAATTTAAATAATATGCAGAGGAAAAATAACTTCCATAACTACACTGAAATAACATAATAATAGCATAGTACTGCTTGTATTGCCTACACTACACATGAGTTCGGTCAACTACTCTGAATGTTAAATACTCAATTCCACTGGAAAATTTAAATTGTAACATATGTGAACTTACTCTTTCCTCCCAGTGTTAATTAATCCCATACTAAGTGACCCAGTTCCTTAAAATCTCTTCCTTTTGGCACAATTACAATAAAATCACATTATAAACTATTTATGCTGCATATGTTGATACAAAGCAGGTCATTAACCTAACTTCAAAAAGGAAAGATTTGCTATAAGCCTGTGAGCACTTGTGAAGTGTGCCATCATTGTGGGGCACTACACACTGCTGTGTTAACTTCGTGATTATAAATCCCTTACATGTATCTCCAAATCTACTCTTCGAATTTTTCTTTTTAAATCTTTATTAAGTAACAATGGGATTCTTAAAATAATCCAGCATGTTATATGCCATAGTTTGTTTATTGTGATACAGAGGTAGAATATTTGTTGATAACAAGAATGGGTAACTGCATTAGCAGTGAATACAGGATGACATTGAAGTATCTTTCTTTACATGTGTGATTTTTCTTTATAAGTTTTCCCTCAAGGAGGGCTCAAGTTTATTTTAGCCTGCTATCACCAGACTTCAAGAGCTATGCATTAAAAGAATGTCTGAATTAATATAATAACATTACCTAGAAAGAGTGTGCTGGGCATAAACTAGAAAAAGCTGTATGAACCTCAGTCTTCTACTGAGGTCATAATTTATGGATATGTTGCCATGTTTCGTAATACAAATCCTAGACTGTTAAGAGCACAGCAAAAGCTTTCCCTCTCAAGGGAAGTTTTGTAGATCATACCGTCTCTTCACTCAGCTAGTGTTTTTCTGTTTCTGTATAAGACTTCCCTGACCTTACTTGACCACTTATCAGTCTGTGATTTTCCTTTTACTGAAAAGAACTGAGAGTAATAAGAAAGTTCTATATATATTCCCAACTCAGATTATCTTCTGTAACTTTTACATATAGACACTTTGCACCTGGAGAATTTTCAATACCGTTAATGTTAAAAACTGATAAAATTCACAGATCATATCGGCAAACTCTAACTGCGAGCAGGTGAAGGAAATACACAGCCTCCCGCTTGCAAAATCCAAAATTCTAGGCAGCTCAGTGTTACAAAGCCACTCTCGAAGCGTGGACCCCATGCATTTAGTTTCCAGAGCCTGGCTGCCGAAGGGAGCCGGGCGTTCGCGGCGAGGAAAGGTGGTGACCGCGGCAGCTCTCCGCGCCAGTCCCGGGCATTTCAGCTGCCCGAAAACCGGGAAGGGTGGACACCTTGACTTCCCCAGAGAAAGCAACTCACCTGAGAAGTAGCGCAGCTTCCCACAGATAAAAGCCCGAGACAGCGGCACGGAGGTACCTAATCCGGGCCATGCCGCTCGCAGCCGCGGCGGACCCCGGGAGCGGTGCTGTCCGAGGCATCGGAGGGGCTCGGTGGCGCGGCTCGGTGGGCGAGGGCGGTGTCGCGGCTCCCGCGGGAAGGCGGGCGGTCAGCTCCCCAGCACCCTGGAGAGCTCCGGCGGCTCCGCGCCCGCCGCCCGCCTAGTGCCCGGCGGGCCCCCGCGCCCTCCCGCTGGGCCCCGGCGCGCCCGCCCGGCCGCTCCGCATCGCAGCCGAGCGGCAGCCTAATCCCAGCCGCGGCGGCGGCGCCGAGCCGTGGCGGCGGCGGGAGCCCCCGTGCCTGCCCGCCTGCCCCCGGCTCCTGCCAGCAGCCGGCACTCCGCCGCCGGACGCATGCCGGGCTCGGGGCGCGCCGCGGCCCGGCGGCGGCGGGGCGGGCGGGAGGCAGGGCCGGGGCTCATGCGGCCGCCCCCCGGAGAGCGCGGCCGCCGCGGAGGCAGCGGGGCGGGACCGGCACGGCGCTACGGGAGAGGGGGCGCCCCGGAGGGGTGCCCCGGCAGGGAGAGGTGCTCCGGCTGGGGCGCAGGGGAGCGCTCGGCTGCTCTGTGCTCAGAGCGCTCCCTGCCTGAGCGCCTTCCCTCCCGCGGGAAGAGGGGCGGCCGGGTCGATGCCTACACGGGGCAGCGACTGTCAAAGAGCCGGGGTGAACTCGCTGGACCTCGGGTGTCGGAAAGGAGTGGTGAAAGAGAGGTGCTTCTGCTTTGCCTGTAGGGCTGGTGGCATGCTTTTTCTTAGGAGATGGATGAGCAGGGGAAACCCATCTCTGTATTTCAGTACTCGAAAGTACAGTGCTGATTGACACAGGAAAAGCATACCTCGTTCTATTCGACTTTTTCAGAAAAGAAAGTGCCATAGGGTGGACTGGTAGGGAAATCCAAAGAGTTTAAAAGTTTAACTGGGGAGGAGAGTGGATGGGATTATGGGAAGGAACAAGGGAAATAACATTGTAAGAGAGTTATTTAGAGAAAGTTATTTATGAGAAGATAGAGGAACAGAGAATAAGGTTACAAGTACGGTTGCCAATAGGAAAATGAGTCCAGAGTCATGGAATATTCTGAGTTGGAAGAGACCCACAAGGAGCATCAAGTCCAACTCTTAAGTGAGTGGTCCATATGGGGATCAAACCATGACCTTGATGTTGTCAGCTCTAACCAAAGAACATTTCATGCAAACCAGGAGCTGCTTTCCTTAGAAAAGGATAAGACTTTAGGATTTGACTTGAGAAATATTGTTTGAGAAATTCTTGTGGGAATCTGTATGGTTTGTGCATATAAAAAAAGTGGAAAATTTGTGAGGAAGGGCTACACCTGGAGAGGAACAGAAGAGGAAAATATGTATGAGATTGTAAAGTAGGGATGCTCCGCGTGAATCTAAAAGAAGTGACCTTCAAACACCCATATCATGTCTAGAAGAGTCAATGGAAGAAGAAATATGGCTGGGCATATCCCCCTCTTCTTAACTGCCTCAGTGTAATCTACTGCCTTGTTCTTTCCAGTAGCCACTAATTTGTGTTAGATAGCAGCCCCACTACTTGTGCAGCTCTATTAGTTGCTCAACCTATATGATTTTCTCATGCTGGAGTCTTATTAAAACTATTAAAAAGCTATATAAAATTAAAAAGTGCCAAAGAAGGAAGCAGATGTGGGAAAAGGCAAAGGTTCTGCAAGATAAAGTACATGAAGTAAAGTAAAAAAACTGAAATTTGAGGGAAATATAATAACCTCATTACAGAAAAAGGAAGATGGAAAGACAGAGAGGGCAATATAGAACCACTTTTAACACAGAATAGAAAAAAATAGAAAAAGACATTAAAAGGTCATTTAGTAGAGAAGATGCAGGAAAGAAATAAGAAATGGAGATTTTGTGCATTCATTATATTCAAGGATAGGGGGTGAGTTAGAAATAGGGTATTTAATTAGAAATTTTGAAAGCAATCACATATTCCACCTCCAGGTGTATTAGGTATATTGCCTCTTTTTTATTATTTTTTTATTTCATTTTACTTTAATTTTATTTCAAAAATATCCCACATGTAGCTGGACCTCAGTTCTTAACTTACATTTGCAATTTTCACAATATCCTTATTCTTTTTTTAAGCTCTTCTTCAAGATTGTTCCAGCAGGTATTGCTGAATAATAATGCCTGCCACACAATTTGGAACCAGTTGGGATTTCTTTGCTAATATATATCAAGTGTACAGCTGAAGAATACACTACAATATCACTAACCTGTTTCCTCTGTACCCTGAACTTTTTAAATTAGTACTAGTTACATTAAAGCAGGGATGCTTCAAGTTTTTAGGTCCACTTTGCAAAAAGTTTACTTTTTTTCTGTGCTCCCTGTAGTCTTGGGTGGCAACAATGACCATGAAAGGAACTTGTTTAAAGACTTGACAGAAAACATAATAACAAACAAACTAAACATCCTCTATTTACTCAAGAGAAGTCTGTCAGTGCAGGTGCTCTACACAATCAGTATAGAGTACTTCATACTTCCTATGTATATTCAGAACAGTTGATTCTTATCTTTCCCCTTAAAATAAGTTTTGTAGTGAGGCTGCTTCTCCAGGCATTATTTACTTTTTTGTGCTATGTACTTCAAAAATTAATTGGTCTAATGTTTCATGTATTCACACTGAGGCAAATGCATTTTTCTTATGGTGCTATTATTTAAAACTACCATCACAATCTGTCCAGGTTTCTGATAGGAACAGTTCTATTAATTATAAATGCAGGCTATACTTTAGATATTCAGTGTTCAAGTTTCTCAAAATCCTTTTGGGAAAAATATACTTGCTTGTGTTTTAAGCAGGACTTTTGCCATTACATCATTTTTTTCCACTAAATAAGACTGTTGCTTTCAAGCTTTTGAAAATTTTCTATGGGTAGTGTTGAATATTAAAATAGTCTCTTCTGAGTGAATTTAAACAATTCACCTTGATTTATAAAGGGTTCCAGTTCAACAAAGCACTCAAGCATACGCTGTTGACTTCAATGAGGTTAGAAACATAGACGCATAGTTTGTTTTTAATCAAAAGCTTTGATAAAATACTCCCTAATAGTGTTTTAATTCACTATTCTTTTAACTACCATCTTTTTAGTCTTACCATAGCACTACTGGTAGACCTACCTGTATAATATGCAAAGCCAAACAAATGGCTTTGTCCAATCTTTAGAAGATCTTTATGGTATCTCTTGATACTTCTGTCAGTTACAGTAAATTGAAAGGTGAGACTTGTTTGAACATCTGTTTTTAAAAAAAAAATCCACAGAGCTTCTTCATGATATAAATCTCTCTCAAATATTAATGGTGTTCACTTATATATACCTCATATACATGCATAAAATATTGCTCATCTTTCAAAACATGATAACTGGTATGTGGGCACCCTATGCATACAAAGCTGAGTTGTATAATTTACTTTCAGTACTATTGGAGATTAATCGAAGTACATTCTTTACAAGTGGAAAACACAAGTATGTTGAAATAAAGTTTTCACCAAAATATTCTAATGTCTAACTATTTTTTTTCCTCCAAAATGGGGATACTTGCAAAACTTTGTATATTTGCACTCAGCAAAAGGTAAGATAGGTCAATTTTATAGAATATCTCACTTTATTAACATACAATTTATATAAAGAAGGTACTCAAAAGTATTCAAACCAAGAAACCAAAGTGCACATGCAGATTGAAGGATTACTTAATGTGCTTTTTGGTGTGACAGAGTTCTTCTGGAATATTAAGACAAACTAACCATAGTGATAGTCATGAGAAGTTGTTATTATCATTTTAGTGTGACCAGTTCTAATCATGTTATGGTTCGGTATATTTAAATAAATAAATAAGTAAATAAACAAGACTGGAATTTGATAAAAGATGAATTCAGAATAGAAAAAGAATAATCCTACTTTGAAGCAATTAAAAAACTGAAACATCTAAAGAGAGAGCAAAACTGAACATCCTTTAAAGTCTTTAGATTTAGGTCACCTGTATGTTCTGGGTTTGGTCCAGAGGCTGCTGGGTAAAATCTGATGAGCCTTGAGATTAGGTTCAGGTCAACAATGGCTCCAGTGTTAAAACTTGTGAACCTATAAACTCAGAATTTTTTGTAATGGTATATTCAGCTACAAAGTTAGGGTTATTTATTTTCTTAGAAAAGCAATAAATTGACCTTACAAACAATAGATTGGCTTCCAAGCTGACAGCTGAAAACCACATGTATCAAAATGGTAAAGGAATAAGACCTCATGTATGTAGTCTTTACCACACTTGTATTGCCAGATTGAACATTACAGCATTTTAAGAGGGTGTTGTGATGGGATATGACATCACTGTAGTTTTAGATACTGGTTTTACTGAGACATGTTTGATTATGTTAATTAATCTGCCTTTCTCAGTACACAGGATTCTCCAGGATGTAATTCATTCAAGTGTGAAACCCTAAAGGCTTTGACCTATTACTAAACACAAAACTACAAATAGAATAGATGTTTTTTGGTAAACACAGTCCTAAAATAGAAAGGCCAGTTTCAAAATATGAGAATGACTAAATTCACTAAAAAGAAAAAATTCAGTTGTTCAGTATACCCCAATAAGGAAGAAAAGGCTTAGCAATGTATTTCAGTCTCTTGAAATAAAGTGAGGAGTCTGTATACGAGCATTTGAAGAGCAATTTTCTCTGTAAGCAATATAGGTTTTCACTTCAAGGTTGTAACATAACATTCTTCAAAATATATTATCTCAACAACGTGTCTTGGGATACCTAAAACAAATAGACCTTTTAATTTGTTTTGCTTAACTGTTGGCAATTGCATTTAATTTTGGGATGCGTACAAAGAAATTGTTTCTAATTCATGGTTAATTAAATTTTCAGTCTTTTAGCAAACTGTGGTATGAGCACCAGATTGCATGTGTTTTTCTTCAGATAATTTTTCTTCTCAGGCACTTTCTATCTTAAGCCTTAATTGTCTTAATTCAGATGGAGTTCCCCAGTTCCAGTGGCAACTGTTCTATCCATCATGATTTTTAGATCTGTGCTAATCTATACGAGACACTAGTCTCTAGGGAGGTGGGTTA